AGTTTATGTTATATTGTAAATGACATGTTACGATTCCTTTTAACACATTATATTCCACTTAATATGAGAAAATAAATCCTATCAGATTACAGTTTTCACTTGAATCAGGTGTAGTTGATCAAGTGTGGATTTTGAACAATTTTATCATTTCTTGCACATTCAATTTACTGGATACGGGGCTATATTTTGACAAAACATTTATTGATTTGTACGAATGTTTGTTAACTCGAGCACGTACTGTATTTGGAAAGTCACATACAGAAACAGTTTCTTCACACTTGATAAACTAATTATACTATCTTGATCATAGTTTAGGTATTTCAGTCATGTAAACCTCTCGAGGAAGCTAGCAGCTGGAGACCGAGTATAAGAAAGGTCCCCATTGTTAAAGACAGTTAATGACATTATGCACAATATCACATGCAAACAAACAAATTATTTATTCTTTTAAAGGAAAAACTCCAAGGGCATAAATGTATCAGCATCAACTAAGAAGTGTAAAAAATAAATCAAGGTCACCATGAAATGTTCTGTAATCATTGTGTAGCTGTACAGGCAATGTAGTGTAGAAACAAGGTCACCATGACATGTTCTGTAATCATTGTGTAGCTGTAACAGGCAATGTAGTGGAGAAACAAGGTCACCATGAAATGTTCTGTAATCATTGTGTAGCTGTACAGGCAATGTAGTGTAGAAACAAGGTCACCATGACATGTTCTGAAACTATTTATACTGAAGATGGAATCAACAACCACAAACAGCAGGCTATAAGACGAACACTAGAAGGATGCAGGCTATAATATAACTAATGTGTTTACAACACTGTTTCATCAACTTTTTAATGTCTGCACAATAATCCTTCTAAGACAGTTTTTCATATGGCGACCAAATCACCAACTCTTTAGGAAATATATCCACGGCTACTTAAAGAAGTGTGTGTACCTTAATTATCTAAAGGATAATATATAGAACATTTGTCTGAAATCATCTTTTACGTATCATAGTAGATATTTAAGTATATTTTTGCTTTGTTTGCACCACATAAATTAAAACAAAGCAAGCTAGCTTTAGCCAATGCAAACCAATACAGCAAAGCGATTAACAACTTCCATTAAAACTCCTGATAAGATAATTCACCTATGGGATTAAAAATGTGGTAAATGACTTTTTTTATTACATCTATCTACACACGAGGTCAAAATCTTACCAAAATCGATTGTTTTACTTTGACACATCTATTGTTGAATGGTGTGAGGAAGTGACGAGCTCAGCTGGTGTACTGTGAGGAAGCGACGAGCTCAGCAGGTGTGCTGTGAGGAAGTGACGAGCTCAGCAGGTGTGCTGTGAGGAAGTGACGACCTCAGCTGGTGTGCTGTGAGGAAGTGACGACCTCAGCAGGTGTGCTGTGAGGAAGTGACGACCTCAGCAGGTGTGCTGTGAGAAAGTGACGAGCTCAGCAGGTGTGCTGTGAGGAAGCGACGAGAGCTCAGCTGGTGTACTGTGAGGAAGCGACGAGCTCAGCAGGTGTGCTGTGAGGAAGTGACGAGCTCAGCAGGTGTGCTGTGAGGAAGTGACGACCTCAGCTGGTGTGCTGTGAGGAAGTGACGACCTCAGCAGGTGTGCTGTGAGGAAGTGACGACCTCAGCAGGTGTGCTGTGAGAAAGTGACGAGCTCAGCAGGTGTGCTGTGAGGAAGCGACGAGAGCTCAGCTGGTGTTCTGTGAGGAAGCGACGAGCTCAGCAGGTGTGCTGTGAGGAAGTGACGAGCTCAGCAGGTGTGCTGTGAGGAAGTGACGAGCTCAGCTGGTGTGCTGTGAGGAAGTGACGACCTCAGCAGGTGTGCTGTGAGGAAGTGACGACCTCAGCAGGTGTGCTGTGAGAAAATGACGAGCTCAGCAGGTGTGCTGTGAGGAAGCGACGACCTCAGCAGGTGTGCTGTGAGGAAGCGACGAGAGCTCAGCTGGTGTGCTGTGAGGAAGTGACGAGCTCAGCAGGTGTGCTGTGAGGAAGCGACGAGCTCAGCAGGTATGCTGTGAGGAAGCGACGAGCTCACCTGGTGTGCTGTGAGGAAGCGACGAGCTCACCAGGTGTGCTGTGAGGAAGCGACGAGCCCACCAGGTGTGCTGTGAGGAAGCGACGAGCTCACCAGGTGTGCTGTGGCTTTACGGTTCAATTTGGAAGAGAAATGCTACCAGTGACCTGTAAATATCGCTGAGACACCTTTGTTGTGGTAGACCTACATACCGGACACTATCTAGGGTTTGTCATCGTGTTAGTGGACAAACAGGTGCACGTCTGGCACAGTTAATCACAACAAAGTAGCCACTGTTTATAGACAAGGTCGTACACCAAAATGTCGATAAGATTTTACCAAGACATTTCATGCAACGACCTTGATATATGTAATTTGGGGAGGTTAATCGACGTTAAGAGGTGAACGATGACGGACGTTATCATTTGTTACAGGTTAGATGGTACCGGGTGCACGTTTGAGCAGCACAGCCGGTGAAGGAAGTTGTGATATTCACAGATTACGCGATAGGCGTTGATGGACACTAAAATGTGTATATGTTACACGATAGGAGTTAACATTCCAATAAGTTGGAGATGATGTATAAACAGTACAGTAATAAAAACATATTCCAAAACATAAATACAATGAGTAAAGTCAGAACATAAATTTAATTTAATTTAAAAAAAAAAAAATGGTCCAGGAACAACCAACATGACGTTCAAGCTCAGAAAAGCATGTAGTCTATACATAACCGAACGTGTTGTACAACCAATAGAATAAGGTACCGAGATATAGATTATATAAGATCGTGATATTGAGGGTTACATTTTGTTCCTAAGTGATAGAAGCCCCATGGATATACTCCATATAATTCGCGGTTAAATGGCTAACATCGTGACTGACCCTTATTTTTCTACTGTAGACATAGGTCATACAGTAAGGTGGTTAGGTAACATTTATTGTCGTACAAATCGTAAATATAGATGATCTTAATTGTCATATTGTAGGTAATTGATATAGGGTTTGGTAGTGAGGAAACCATATGTATTATACTGTAGATAAATGTCATAAAGCCCTGGAAGTGATATCATCATTATTGTCATACTTTAGGAAAATGTCATAGAGTTTGGTAGTGAGGTATTAAAAGGTCGTATTTTAAATTCTTAAGTTTTACAGTATAGCTAAAATACAAGTAGATTTCGAAAATTAAGTTATTGAAGGACAGACGCCATGTATATATCTGAATATGAAAGTAGATCGGCCAAATTCACGTGTCCTTAAGACTTTTATTCGGATAATTAATACAATTGAACAGGGGCACTTAATTATTTTTATTTTTCGCTGTTTATAATTGATTTCTGTCGCTTATGTTAACAATAGTATCGAATGTCTATAGTCTGTCGTCGGTTCGATATAATGGCTATAATAGGGCTAAGAGTTTGGAAAGAAAACGATTCTGTAACAAACTGCTGTTTGTAACTATCGCTGGTGCAGTTATACATTTAGGGAATACAATAGAGGCAAGGAACAACTGCCTTAAAGATTGTCTTTTATTTTTATTAAAACTATAGAGGATGTTTAATAGTTTTCCATTGAATACCAAATATTTAACAGATATGGCTTCGTCGTCGTGATGAATACCGATATATTCCGCCTTACAAGTGAAACGTGTTTGGTATTCGACGAGGAAACCATAAGTCTTTCTCTTAATTACACTTGTATACTGCCTACGGCAGCGAAAATGTTACTGCGTCAAACATTTAGGGATGTAGGTTAATCTTTGGCGCCATTATCGAATTGCGTCACGCTTGACTAAAGACTTGCGTCGCTTTGAAAGATCCGCTCATTGCAATCCTATCGTTTTCTGTTCATATCTGGTAAAATTTGCTAACAAAATGCGATCGATTATACAATCTGATAAATATCTTTCGTATCAAAACAACCATTTATTCAATCGTCGCTTTGTTTGCATCTCACCAGAAAGTTTGCAGCTTCGGATCCAGTAATCAATTTGATTGATCAGTATCAAAAGACATTTGTCTCAGTATAAAAGATATAAGTTTTGAGAAGTGGATAGAATTATATATATATATGTATTACATATATCACAAAACCAAAAATATCCATCTTTCACCATATGGTGTTCAGAAAAAATATCGACGGTTTGGGATGGACTACAAAAAAAATCAAAAATCTGAGTTCTGTATGTAAATAACGATAATGTTGTCAGAAAATTTAAATCCAGATCAAAACCCCCGAATGCAAAAATCGCTTTTCTCGAAAAACATTTAAGAATTCCACAAATAGTTTAAACGTTTGTGGATGTCGTCACACTTCTGTTCGGTAGGTAGAGAATTCGAACGCAACACATCGCTTGCGATTTAGTCATACACTGTATCTGTTTTTTTAGATGCAAGGAAGCAATGTTGAATTTATAAATAAAAACGCACAGAGGTCTAAAGTCGTAGTGTTAACTGTAGAGGAAATAAATATCTCTCGTATACTGGAAGGCACATTAGTAAGGATATGGAGTCGTTTCTAAAATTCCTATATTAAACCTCGCAACACTGCAATGTGTAACCGGGAAGCCTTGATGTATTAAAGGTTGCGTAAAATCTGAGGGGCTTTTTGGGATGTTCGTAATGAGATATATAGAATAATTGATATCGTAATAAAATCTGTCCGAGTCGTCGTTACCAAATCACAGTATTATATATCCAGACCATCAGGCTTATTCAAGTTGTGTCGTGACATAAAAAACGCGAGTGCTTTAAATACTCTGTCATGTTTAGCTCACATAAAATCTTGGGACAAGTGTTTGACTCACGAGTAAACATTGGACATATTCTCTAACATATTTCACTCACGAATAAACATTGGACATATTCTCTAACATATTTCACTCACTAGTAAACATTGAACATATTCTCTAACATATTTCACTCCCGAGTAAACATTGAACATATTCTCTAACATATTTCACTCACCCGTAAACATGGGGCATATTCTTTGCCATACGTTGATTGCGCCACACCTCTGGTACTGTCCAAGAGCCAGCTCCATATAGAAAAGGGGAATTCCTAAGAACACCAGCATAATGATGTACGGAATCAGAAACGCACCTGTAACATAAAAATACACGTGTCTATAATATACTTTAGGGATACAACTGTAATATGAATATACACGTGTCTATCATATACTATAGGGATGCACCTGTAGCATGCAGACATATGTATCTAAAATATTCTAACAGGGTCAGATTAAACTGATATTTAAGCTAGCTTAACTAAACGTATGCAAGTTAAACGAGAAAAGAACACATCGATAAACTAGTGGCAGAAATCTACTACCAAAACAGTGTTTGCCTCCTTTCGTCAGCCCAAATTTAAGAACATCATCACTGTCAGCCTCGATTTAAGAATATTTTCCCTGTCAGATTCGATTGAAAAATAGTGTTCCTGTAGGCCTCAATTTAAGTGTATTATCCCTGTAAGCTGCGATTTTAAAATATCATTTCTGTCAGCGTTGTATCATGAAGATCATCACTATCAGCCTCGATTTGAAAATGTTTTTTTCTGTCAACCTCGACTTCACTTTGATTCTCAGTCTGACTTATATATGAGATTGACACAATGAGGGACTGACAGGGAAATCTACAGTATTTGACATCTCCGGTGTGCTAGTAGACCGTATTAACGGGGCTTTAAAACAATCATGATTATGATATATCAGCCATATGTAGATCTATCGCATATAATTAGTGGTTATATCTATCTATAGGGAAAATAATAAAGATAAGCTGTAAATGTACCTTTGGTAAAATGTATGTTCCTGTAATATCTTGTAAATTTCACATTAAATAGTGTGAATTATGCGTCACAACTCCAGATGGTGTAATAATAATAATTTCATTGATCAGCAGTGATTTATGATTCTATCAGCCGACATTAATCATGTGTCCGCGTGTGAAGTGACACACAGCTGTCATACAAACACAGAATTGACAGCAATGGACACGGGGGCCTGAACCATTCAATACGGGTCCTCTTACTTACTGTTGACGGGTTTAGTATCTTAGGATATCAGAACAAACGCTTGTATAACATTACAGATTTAAAACTTGTTCGATTATACTAAACTGTACTGAAAGCCTCGCTAGCCGTCTGGATTGACATGGGCACCGGTCCCTGTGACGTCGTAACAATCAGTGAACACAAGGAATGTAATTATCATTAGTTCTCGGTCTATTTTCGTTACTTGATTAGTAGGTTACTGAGACAATCAGTGAAATCTGACATCCACTAGTTTCTCCTCTACCGATAGACCGATGATACCCACATGAATGCATATGAAATAAAATAAATAAAAAATGTGTTTAAACTATCAAGAGTATTTTTGTCAGTAATTGAATACAGTGAAATCCGTGATTCCCACCACGAATGTATGATGAACATACAAGGTGCAAACACGGAATTATTGAGACAACCTTAAACCATTTTGCGTCAAAAACGGAAGTATGTTTATTTCGGAAAACTATAAGAAAAAAATATAGATTCTTAATTAGCTTCAGGGTATGATTTCATTAACACATTAACAGTCACATAAGAGTGGAAACAAAGGTATTAACTTTAAAATACAATATAGATATTGTATACAATGTATTAGTTCGCTCATATATATGTCAGAGTGTACAATATATGCATCAAGTTGATACGAAATGGTTTACAAAGTAGTAACAAGAAAGTCATCCATTTGTTACATTTGTTTAATCGTCCCTACGTTCAAGGTGTTACAACCGTATACATGCATAGTAACGTACAAACATTGTGATCACTAATAAGCGAACTTATATATGTACAATGTATTACATCAATAAATATAAATGTATATACTATAAATTACCACTGTATATATAAATGTATATACTATATATTACCACAGTATATATAAATGTAAATACTATATATTACCACAGTATATATAATGCATATACTATATATTATCACAGTATATATAAATGTATATACTATATATTACCACATTATATATATATGTATATACTATATATTACCACAGTATATATAAATGTAAATACTATATATTACCAGGGTATATATAATGTATATACTACATATTATCACAGTAGATATAAATGTATATACTATATATTACCACAGTATATATAAATGTATATACTACATATAACCACAGTATATATAATGTATATACTACATATAACCACAGTATATATAAATTTATATTCTATATATTACCACAGTATATATAAATGTATATACTAAATATTACCACTTAAAATATAAATGTATATACTACATATTACCACAGTATATATAAATGTATATACTACATATTACCACAGTATCTATAAATGTATATACTATATCTTACCACAGTATATATCATGTATATACTACATATAGCCACAGTATATATAATGCATATACTATATATTACCACAGTATATATAATGTATATACTACATATAATCACAATAGATATAAATGTATATACTATATATTACCACAGTATATATAAATGTATATACTATATCTTACCACAGTATATATAAATGTATATACTATATATTACCACAGTATATTTAAATGTAAATACTATATATTACCACAGTATATATAAATGTATATACTATATATTTCCACAGTATATATATATGTATATACTATATATTACCACAGTATATATAATGCATATACTATATATTATCACAGTAGATATAAATGTATATACTATATATTACCACAGAATATTTAAATGTAAATACTATATATTACCACAGTATATATAAATGTATATACTACATATTACCACAGTATATATAATGTATATACTACATATAACCACAGTATATATACATTTATATACTATATATTACCACAGTATATATAAATGTATATACTACATATTACCACAGTATATATAAATGTATATACTACATATTACGACAGTATATATAAATGTATATACTATATATTACCACAGTATATATGAATGTTTATATTATTTATTACCACTGTATATATAAATGTATATACTATATATTACCACAGTATATATAAATGTATATACTATATATTACCACAATATATATAAATGTATATACTACATATTACCACTGTATAGTTAAGCATTGAACTGTTACCAGATGCAGTATACAGTCGATATGAATGCAATTTGGGTGACATATAAATAGAATGTCGCCCGTTAGGGCGACATGACAAATAAATAGAATGTTATGTCAGACATGACAGATAAATAGAATGAATATTTATCTGTCACCCAAATTGCATTCATGTCGACTGTATACTGCATCTGGTAACAGTTCAATGCTTATATTTACATTTATATAGTTTGTATTTTATAGTAACTACCAAAAATACGGTTGAATTTTCCGCTTATCATATAAGTGACGTCAGTGAGTTCAAATCCCAGAACAGCCGAATTTTCCAGAAGAAATAATATAGTCCCTCGTGTCATTGCAAACCACACGTACATAAAATGGTTTGATCAAATACTTAACTTTATTATTTATTTCATATAAGTGTGTATATGTTGAAAAATTGTTAATAATTGCATTTAAAATGTTTGAAATTAAAGCTGTTTTCGAGCATTGATAGATTACATGTATTTGGAAGTGATGCGGCGCTGAACGGATTTGATTGTTTCCTCGGAAACGCTTATGTATCCATCGACTGGAATATTACGTTATTTTCAGAAGCATATATACTCGGAAAATTGTAATCAAAGTGGTCCTTTCAGTAGGTGACAACGTTTCCAAGGACATTTCGTTTGAAACAGATTCCATGTCTAATCGATCAGATTAGCATCGCTAGCAGACGATGTTCACAGGGTTCGGTTTCGTGATTTTGAGTAATGGATGATATCACTGAAGAACCACAACACTTAAAAAGGTATTTACACACATTCTAAAACCTTGTCGATACCCTCGACTTTTACAAGGTTTTATAAATGCTGTATTTTAGTGTTGTGGTTATTCACTGATGCTATGCATAACTCATAATCTCGAAACCGAGCCCCTGTGTGATGACGTTGACAAACTTGGTAATTTCGTATCTAGAATAGCGCTTACAATAATTGTGTGGTACCTACACATCTTATAATAAATTTATATTGTCATAATATGTCAATTTGCTTTATTTTTTGCGATCACCTACATTGCTAAATGCTAACGAACCCAGAAAGTTCTTTTGACTATAGGCCTATTGATCAATATCGGATGTGACTGGCGGCCATGTTTGTTTACCTTTTACCAGTTTTATTCCTACACTGGCCGTATCACTGTAAATTGTAGTATACAGTCTCATATACTGCAATTTGGTTTACTAACGACGTATAGGCAAATGCAACACAGAATGTAATTATAAATGTATATACTACATATTACCACAGTATATATAGATGTATATACTATATATTACCACAGTATATATAAAAAGTACGTACAGTACAATGTATTATATAAATAGATATTTTTACATACAACATGTAACTTGTATGTAGATCGTGATGTTATCATGTAATACGAATCACAAATGCTGATATTGCTAAACCTTTTCGGAGTTCTTTTGTTAGTTAATTGGTTCAAATCACAAAGATGGCATTTGTAATATTTAAAAACTCGTATTTTTCTTCAATCATCAAATGGACATTAAAGAAACGCTTGTTGACACAGTCTTGTATTGTGGTATATATTAAACTTGGCACGGTACATCTCCTTGTAATTTGGTCCAACATGGAATGACCAGATCCATGGTAAAGCTATTATACGTTAGTAAAGGTAATCACTGGGCGTCTACCTGTGTTGAACAGGTGTATGTTCGACTCCCACAGTCATATTATACGTCATTGAATCATAGGTGGCGCTCATTGTGTAGTCAACAACAATACAAAAATGCAAGTCTTTGTTCAATTATTGATTGGTGAAGAAAATCTATTAAAATCTACATTTATTTTACACATTATACCAAGTTTAATACACGTGTATTTTCCGAATCGTTTCAATGTTTGCGAGATAAGGTTATGACAAAATTTTGTTTATCTATCGTATGTCTTATGAATT